ATCCCCTCTGCCTGCTGCTGCTGCTTCCCCTGCTCCCGCAGCGCGGTGCTGCCCGTGAGTTCCTGTGGGTGCTGATGGGACCGTGACCTGTTTTTGTGACTCCTGACATGAGCTTTCTGATTCTTTAACCAAAAGCTGCTGTTTCCAAAGTAAGAACTGGTCCTGAAGCCTCCTGATCAGCTCCAAAAGCCCTTGTACAGCTCAACTTCCTCCCCACTTCCTCACTCCATACATAAGATTAATGGCTTTAAAGAGGTGGTGCATGAGCTGCTGCTCTTCGCATTTGTTACCTGAACAAGTATCTGTAAAAATCTTAACTCAGACTCTTTTTGTAGGATAACTGGGATGATGAGGAGGAAGAGGAGGAAGTAAAGGAGACAGAGGTAAAACAAGGTAAGACTTAAAGCACACGTGGCTCTGTGCACAGCAGAGCAGACGCTGGTTTGTTTGGAGTGTGTCTGAAGAATCAAACCCACTAAATGGGGTTGGTTTTGTTCTGACAAAGTGTGTCCTGGAGCTTCCTGGGTTCGGATTCCACTGATGGAGCTCCAGGGATGACTGTGCTTGCTGGGAGTAAGCCCTGGTTGTTGAGAGCTTTGGTGTCCATGTGTTACAGAGCCAAAAGTCTCCGAAAAAAAGAAAATAGCAGAAAAAATAAAAGAAAAAGAAAAGCTACAGAAGAAGAAGCAAGAGGAGCTTAAAAAAAGGGTAACTCCTGTTTCCTTCTGGGTCTCAGAGATGTAGAGGACAGGGTCAGTTTGATTCTTTTGAGGTTGAACAAGCCCTGTAAAGCTCTTGACTATGATAAAACAAACCTCAGTCCTGCACTGACTAACACGGGGGGGGGGCATCAGCTTTAATATGTGTAATTGGGCCAGCTGCTGAAGCAATGCTCATCTCTGCTGCTCATGGTACAACGTGCAGCGGTGAAACACACAACTGAGGCGCTGCTTCCCCCTTGCTGTAGACTGCTTGTTAAGCGATGTGGTGGTGTTACCCTGCTCAGGGGCAGCGTGTCTATGTTTCTTACTGCAGTTAGAGGCCCCAGAGGAGCAGAAGGAGCTCACCCCAGAAGAACAGTTAGCAGACAAGCTACGACTAAAGAAATTGCAAGAGGAGTCAGACCTGGAGTTAGCAAAAGAAACCTTTGGTAAGTGCGAGTTGGTGCAACTGCAGCAGCCCCAGAGGGCTGTCCCCTGAAATCAGCCTGGTGGGGGGTACCTGCAGAGGGAACTGAGCAGGATCTGCCTGTTGGCACACACAGGTTGTGTGACTGAGACTAAAGAGGGGTTGCACTGGAACTGCTGGAGGCACGTCTCGGTGAGGGGGACTAATTGGAAGAACCACAAAACCTGCTTTAGCACAGGAGGTGCTTTTCCTTAGCAGGTAATAGTAGGAGCCCACAGGAGAAAGAGGTGGCTGGCTGAAGTTTCCAGCATTGCACTTGGACGCACTGGTACTTGTGGTAAAAAGCTGAGTGAGACGAGTGTGTAAAAAGAAAACCCAGAAGTGCTGTCTCTGAATGTTCTGAGTGCTTTACAAGAGGGAGCTAACAAGGCTTTGGAGGACTGTGGCACAGCAGAACTCGCTCCAGTGTGCTTCCCTTCAGGCAAACTGTGGCAGGCCAGGAGGAGGGAAAGCCAGCCAGGTCAGAGCAGTGAGATGGTGGAGACAAAGTAGATTTAGAGCAGATCAGCCTGGTTTTGTGCTCTGACAGCATCAGCAGAGATCCTGACTCACAGCAGCATCCTCCACACATGAAAGCGTGTTTCCTTGATTATAGTGAATTATCCAGCTACTACTCGGTGGAAATGCTTCTCTGTGAGTCCTTGGCAGAGTAGGGGTGGGAGATGCACCAAAACCAGCTGCAAAGAACCAGCTAAACTTTGCACTGGGGAGCTCAAGACAGGAATTCTTTATTTAAGGGAAAGGGGCTTCCTCTAGAGTGCATTACTCCAGGGAATGGGAACAGCTGGTGCAAATTACTACATTTTGGAGTAAAACACCTTTCCATAGAGGCTCATAACTGGGGCTGTTGGCTTTTATGTGGTGGAAGCAGTGAGCAGAGCTCAGCTTTGGCTGGGGATTTGGACCCGAATGTCAGCGAGGTTACTGCTTCCTCTGGTGTCACCCCGGGGCTCACGGCTGTTTGTGTAACACCTCTGTCTTCCCGTGCAGGTGTAAATAACACTTGTGGAATAGATGCCATGAATCCCTCCTCGAAAGATGACTTTACGGAATTTGGCAAGCTACTAAAAGAGAAAATCACACAGTACGAGAAGTCGTTACATTACGCCAGCTTCTTGGAAGCGTTAGTTCGGGACGTGTGTATTTCATGTAAGTGTCATGGGAGCCCAGGACACCCAGTGAACACCTGACTCCATTCCCACAGACTGTGTTAGGGATTGTCTCCCTGTACAGGAGGCTGCTTATCTGGGGACCTTCAAACATTAACTGTGATTCCAGGGACCAGACTCGCTCAGCCTGTGTTCTGCTGATTTAAACCAAGTAATTGCCCATCCTCATCAGAGATGCTTATTTCTACGTCTTGCAGGGTGGTGTTGTTGGGTTATTTAACTGCCTTTGAAAACAATACTGACACAGAATCCTTTTTCTTTTCCTGACTTAGTGGAAGTTGATGATTTGAAAAAGATCACAAATACGTTGACAGTACTATGCAGTGAAAAACAGAAACAGGAAAAGGTAAGGCTTCTGCGTGGTGGTAAGGGCTGCAAGGGCTGGGCTGGTGAGGGCAGTTCTTGGACACTGCTTCAGCTGCTGGGTATGGTTTGGGAGTAGCAGGAGATTAAATGATCACACATCCACCCTGGCCTTGAACACTGCCATGGCTGGGGCAGCCACAGCTTCTCTGGGCGCCCTGTGCCTCAGCACTTTGATTCCTTCATTAAACTGGTGATTTCACAGAGCTGAACACCAGATGCTGCATTTACCTTGTTATTCTACTTGTTGAGAGCTGGGTAAAACAGGATGACAGACAAAACATGGGCAAGTCCATGAGGGAGCTGTGGGGTACCTGAAAATACCACAGCTGTGCTAGGAATGGACTGTAATTGATGGCATTGCAGGGTGAAACACAGGGTAGGAGTCATGCTCATTGCGTGGCTGTGTGAGTGCTCATACCCAGAGACGTGAGGTGTTACTGGAATTGGGGTACTGACTCATTGCTATGGAGCTGAAAGTCAATGTGCTCTTCCTATTTAAGCAGAATAAAGCCAAAAAGAAGAAAAAAGGTGTTGTGCCGGGCGGTGGTTTAAAGGCTACGATGAAAGACGACCTGGCTGACTACGGAGGATACGATGGTGAATATGTACAAGACTTTGAAGACTTCATGTGACATTTATCTCCCTTTCTGTTGTTTTTCTGTTGCCCGTAATCCCTTAAACATGTAGCACAACTTTTCTTCCTTTAAATTCTGCCAAATGCTACAATCAGAATTGCAGTATCTGTGCTGGTGGTTTAAGTCCAGATGGGTGCCTGGTCACGGCTTAGACCCAGGATGGTTCAAAGCTATGTAAATTGCAGTAAACCCCCCCAGATTCTCATACAGGGTAACTGTTGCTATTTGACTCCACAGTAACAGCCACTAAATTGGAGTTTCAACAGGGGACAATGTTATTCCCAGCAGGGTTCAGTGACTTGGCCTTACCTAAGTGACCTGTGCTGAACCAGCGCAGTTTGCAGCGAGGGTGTGGTGTGCACTTAGTATTACAATTGCTTTGTCTTACGTTAGAGCTTGAGGATTTGGGGTATTGTGAAGGAGAGCCACTAACTTCAGTGTGAGGATCCTGCACTCGAGACGCTGCTCGAGTGGGCATGGGGTGGTCATGAGCCAGGGGGGTACCTGACCGGAAAGGAACGATTTTGTGGCTTAAGTATGAAGTTTAGTTTCCATTCATCTGGATTTCTACTAACGCAGCAGTATGGGTTTGGGATTCCTTAACAGTTAATTGCCTGGTTTAAGTGTAAAAAAACCCAGGACTTCCTTTTGGGCTGTCCTGGGTTGTGGTAGATCTTTCACAACTCGGCCATTTTCTTTCATTTAAAACCAACAAAAACTTGCTTAGCAAACTGCAAGAGTTGCTACAGTTGGGCAAATTGTTATGTTAACAATTACAACATCTGCAGTGTTTTATAAAGCAACTAATTTAATAAAAATCACTATTGAGGACCTCACCCCGGCTGCCTCTGGACCCGTTCTGTTAGTGTCTTAAAATAAGAGGTGGTGGGGTTGCGGTGCTGGGACTAACCGCAACAGCTTGGTCTCATTTCTCTGACAAGACTGACTGGCACTGCAGTTTGCAGTAGGGCTCTGCTCAGGCTTACTCCTCCCTGCCCAACATTCTCTTTCTTAGAGGCGCAGTGACCTGAACTATGGTGGTACCTGTGTGCCCCATGGCCATGGCCATGTACAACCTCCAGAGCTGCCCTGACAGCTTTGAGAGAAACACTGCGCAGGGGAAGCATCGTCACTGTGTGCAGCAACCAGGCAGAGGCTCTAAGCTGTAAACTCAAGATCTTTGCTAATTAGCTGGGTTGCCATGGCAATGGTGGTTTTGCTGGGGTAGTGTTTAGAGATAGTGGGATCCCATTGCTTCATTTTACTTGGAAGCCATCTGTCTGTGTGATGCCTCCAGCTGTGAGCCCTCCCCCTGCTCTGGGCCAGGAGTTAGTATCTGTGTTAGCCAGGAGCTCTGCAGGCTGCTGTTACTTGGGGCATGTACTGAATGCAAGCTGAACCCCAGTTTCTGCCTGAAGCAGTGTCCGAGTCTTACCTTCCCTCCTGATTTGCCAAAACACCTCAGCAGCAGAGTGCTTATTGCAGCTCCTGACCCAGTGTCAGAGCCAACCACCCACCCAAGCATGGAGGGGGAGTTAGGATCCGTAAGAATACATCACTACATTTTACTCCCAGCAGCAAGTTAGTATCTGCTGTACAGCCCTAAGGGGTTGTACAAGGCATTCTCTCGATCACTAAGCAGTCTGATCAGATGAGAGCCAAAGCATGGATTATCTGGGCACGTACCTCAGCCTTCCAAAGGAGTTCACTAACACTCCCGCTGACTCCATCACCATGTACGGGCCTGCTCCTCCAGCTGGTTGCTGGTTTGGACACCATTCCCGTGGTGAGCCACAGCCTGACATGAGTGGCTGCTGGCTCCCTGTGGTTCCAAGGGGCCATCCCTGGCTGCAGGGGCTGGTTACTCACGTGTTTTGTAAACAGATTTATTATACAAAACACAGTTTTAGGTTAACCCAGCCTCAGCCCTTGCAATATTTACAACCAGCACCAGTTCTCTGGAGCAGCCTCCGCGTAGCAGCGCACTGCTGTAAGCAGATGGATAAAATACCTGTTAAAGAGTCAGTACTAACCCTGCGGGAAGCCGGGCTCTAGTTTGACAACATGTCATTGAGGCAGCAGCCAGTCTGAGCGTCCTTCAGGAGCGTGTTCACCACGTCGTAGAACTTGTTGTCGTAAGCCAACCTGTAGTACGTGTAGATGTCCTCACAGTACGTGAGCAGCTTCTTCAGGTTCTTCAGAGCAGCTTCAGTAGGTGGGTGTTGTTTAACTCTGAAAATAATTGTACACATACTTGAACTAGAAAGGCTTCACAGTCACCACTAAGACTGATTTGCTACAGACCTCTAAGAACTGAATTCCTAAAATGAGGCTGTGCTCCTCTAAAGGAGCCAGCAGGAAAGAACATTCCAGCTTGTCCACACAATACTCACTTCTTGGCGATCTCCTCAAACATGCTGGGCTTCAGGGGTCTTTGTTGTTTGAAGTCTTCTAAGTATGTGAAGTCTCCCTTGGTGACCACTTGCTGGTACAGAACTTCAGCCCAGTCCGGCACAAACTCATATGCCTCGGCCACAATGGCTGCCTGCAGGGGAACAGAGCTGCAGTGACCGAGCAGAAAGAGGTGGTTCTGGCACAGAGACATTCCTGTATTTAGGATACTGAAAATACTGCAGGTCCCCATCAGAGCTGTGCTTCTGTTTCCAGGCTGGCTCCTGAGTGGGCAGTATCATGGGGTAACAGTCACAGGCATGGTGGCCACGTGGCAGAGCTGAGCACTGTGCTCAGGTACCCGCTGTGTAAAACAGTCCTGGTCAGAAGCAGCAACGGATGAGGGAGCTGAACTCACCTGGTAGAACCGAGGCAAGGCCACGATGGAGTCCATCAGCTCCTGCCTGCTGAGGTTGATGAGCATCGTGCTCTGACCCGTGCTGAGGAAGTGCAGCTGGAGCGTTATGAGCTTCGTCAGCCGCCGGCAGCGCAGGGCCTGGCGCACACAGGAGTCCTGTAAACACACCAGAAAACAGGAGCTTGTTTTTCAAGGGAAGTAAAATCTTCCTGACAGCAAGCATGAGTTCAGCGTTACCCAGCACTCCATCTTCTAGACCACTGCAGGGTTATCACTGTGAGCCTTAAACAAAGCTTCACGCACCACCAGAACTACTTCCATCATAACCACACTAGGTTTTAAACTCATTATACTGTTCTACTCCTGCTAGTTAAGCTCATGGCCACTCCTAAAACTGGGGAACCCAACTGTAACCCTAAAGTGTAGAGCCTAAGGAAGGAACAGTCACCTGCTTGTGAACGCAGCAGGGCTACCGGGGGCAGGCCACAAGGGATTATTCCTCTGCTCCTCTTCTCCTGGGACAGGATTCCATATCCCTCCCTAGCACAGCTTGCTTTGTCCTCCCTGTTCAGCTCACTCCTTATGCGCTCCCAGTTCTGTACATCTCATTTTACCTTAGAATAACTTTCTGCTGCATCAATGAAGAGCGTCAGGGCTTTCATCAGCAGTTTCTTTAAATTTGCAACATCCCGAAGAGACTCCTCTGAAATGGGGAAAAAAAGAACCAATTATTTATAATGTGACAAAGTAAGTTACAAAAATACCTCCTGGTACCAAGTGTGCCCCCCGAGGGGTGCCTCAGAGCAACAAAAGTCTGACAAAAGATATTTTGTACTAAAAAAGCACAAAGAAACAGCACTGACTGCTTGGTTAATGGAGCAAAGCCAGTGCTGGAAGCCAAAGGATGTTATCAGGACCAGACCGGCCATCAAAACCGGTCACCCTGCATGTCCTCCTGCTGAAACAGACTTGGTTTCCACTCACCCCAGGGCTGAGATTCAATGAGTTTGAGCTGTATGCAAGCAGCAGCCTCGTGATTCTCCCCGATCTCTCGACACATGCTGAAGCACAGGGCTATCATGTTGTGCTTCTCACTGTCCCCGGGCCGGCAGCGCTTGATGTAATCCAGCAGAGCTGTCTTCAGTGTCCCACTCTGGTCAGATGAAGGGAAATCCCATCAAGATTTGAAGAGCCTTTGTTTTATTCCCATTTTAGTAAATATTTCTGATTTTAAAAACCTTTAACTGGAAGTAAATCCAAAGCAGGACATGAGATCTGAGTGACAACCCAAAGCTTGAAGTTTCAACGCTGCACTTGGTGCACTGGACTAATTTGAAATAGTTGAACTAAAACCAGAACAAACTCCAGAATTAGCTTCTTCCTGCAAAACTTGATGGAGATTTCCCATACTCTAGCAATTAAAATCCCCAGGTAACTGCACTCTGTTGTGTAAATACCAGTTCTGACGCAGCCACACAGTTCCTCGAGCTTCCCCCCTTTGTACCCCTCCACTTACTGGGTCTAACTTCTTCCTCATGAGCACTTCGAAGTAGTGTTTCTCATGCAGCAGCTCAAATATGTAGGTCATCTCATTGTACCTGCCAATTCCAGTGAGAAGACGAACCTGTGGAAACAGCAGTGAGAGCCTGGAGCCCAAAGCAAACAGAAACCCCACTCTGAGCAGTCAGGGCCATGGCAGGGAGGGGGCTGCATGTGGCAGTGCTGGGCTGGCCGATACAGATACAGGGCACAGTGAGGGGCATCAGGCAGGCAGATGCTCCCTCAGAGCCATGGAGTTTTAAGTTTTCAACCAACCAACTGCATCCTTTTTCCTGTGAGGTGAAAGGATGTAATCTGACCAAATTAAAATAGGCAGTGACCCTTCTAGCAATGACACCTTTACACTGGGCATGTCTCCAACTCCCGGAGTCCTTCCAAGGCAGGACATAAAGATGTGCAACAGCCCAGTAATGCAAATCCTCACATTTGACCAGCAGCTGAATTACTCTGACATTGCCGTCCTGATCTACTTCCCTGCTGCCACTTCACCGCTCCCCTGTCTCCTCCTCTGTTTTCCAGAGAAGTCTTTTAAGAGCTTTTGTGACCTGCACACATCAGACCAAACACCCACTTTTAGCTTCTAGGGCCAGGCAGGACAAGGCAGCTGTCCAGAGGAGAAGGACTGTGTCCATTCCGGCCCCCAGCTCCCCCTGCACTGCTCACCAGCAGTTACTGCTGATGTGCACATGGAACCCTCTGCACACATCTGGATAAACACACAGGGCATCAGGACCCGTACCATGACTCCGTACTCTTCATTAGGTGCCAGATACTCATCCGTGAGCAGCCGTGCTGCTTGGAGGACTCGAGTGATCCCCTCCATGTGGCAAGTCAAACTGAAGCAGTTGTGAGCCACGATCAGCAGTTCTGTAACTGAAGAATGGAAGAGCTCAGGTATTTATTAACTAATAAACTGAGGGGGTTAATTCCTGTGCCTCACTCCACTGAGGCTATTGCTGCTGAGGACACACAGCCCTTCCAGTTACAGACAGCAGAACTGGATTAGAAAGTTGAGCTGTTATGGTCTGTCCTGTGCAGTTTCAAGTAGTAACAGTTTCTATAACAGCGTGCATCCAGTCTGGCTTCTCAAGCTGTGGGAAAGTCTGGGTTTTTCTGGATCGTTTTCTGACACATTATTTTATTCCACACACAAAACTTCCAACCTCCTCCAGCAGAAGCAGGCTGACAAACGTGTAGGAATACACCAGCATGCCACTGCTACCAGGCAGCTCTGCATCTGTGCTCTGTGCTGTGATTTTAACCCAGGTAATGCCATGTTCAGTAATGCACTGCTTACATCAAGTATTAATTGCCATTTACTTACTGCACGACAGTTCCCCATGAGGTACGGAGGAAATCTTATCCAGTAACTTCATGCCAACCAATGTATGATCCTGGCAGAGCTTAGCAAGCTGTAGGAATGCCTGACTCTCAGCTGCTGGGTTCACAACCTGTTTCTGTCCTGTGTCCACAGAGAGAGAGTGAGTTATGTCCCAGGTGCTACTTGTTAGGGTGAGATTAGCTACGTTAATAGAAAAACAAACCAAACAAACCACTCTAACTTCACCCACACTGAACAAGTATGCAAACGTTTTATACAAAACCCTATGTAAGGTACACAAGGTTTACAAGCCTTGTACAAGAGCTGCCCAAACATTACTGACTATAATCAACACTCAAATATCTCGAGAGCGAGGACTGTTTTGCAGACACAGGAACACCACACTTACAAACCAAACCCGCTAACATACAAGACCAAGCTTCTTTACTACCTTTCCCTTCTGAAGATGCCAGTAGCTCCTGCATGATTTCCTCAGCCACCAGCTCTGCCACGGTGCTGGGCTGCAGAGCCTGCGTGGTGATGAACGCCTGCGCCTTCTTGCACCGCTCCGGCTGGCGGGATGACAGGATGGCACGAAGCAGCTTCTCAGGGTCCTGGGCTGACATCTCACTGTAGCAGCAGTTCAGCTCCTAAGAAACACACATGCACTTAGAAGATCCTACACAGCAAAGGGTCCAGTGCAGAACATCTATTGACTTGTTAGCAATGAGGTGATGCAGGAGAGGAGAGCTGGAGAACAGACAGAACCCAGGTTCAAAACCTGCAAACATCATCTGTCCTTAGGTCAGGTAATGTTCACCTGGGTAACTTAAGTATTAGTGCTCTCCAGATCAGGGTGACATGTAACTATGCTGCATTTGAAGTTTAATACTCACAGAGCGGTTGCCATGAACAGAGGTATTTTCCTAGCCCAGTATAAACCTTAACACTTGAAATACATAGAAGAAAGACAGGAGCATGTCCTCCCAAAGGAAGGATTGTGTTTTACTGAGTAGGTTTCACTCCTGAGGTTCTTTCTCCTCTTCTCTACATACCACAAGCTCACAGCGAAAAAGACATCCTCGTTTTCACACTGGCTACGTCTGGCAGAGGTGAGGCTCTGTAAATACTCTCCTGTGACATACGACAGCTTTACAAGTGTACAGATTCGTTGAAAAATGTACCTCCTAAACACAATGATCAGCTCTTAATTCAACAGTAGGGACACATGCAGCTTCAGGCTAGAAGTATATGAGTGGTATAAAAGGCAACAAGCCAATCATACAACTACGTAGCAGCACAAACCGAAAGCCCTCCCTCTGAATATCTGAGGTATGCAAAATTCTGTAGGAAAATCAAGGAAGCTCTGTGATAAAGGCAATTCTGAAGTCTTCAGCACACAAACTGATGCTTTTTATTCAGGAAAAGCTAATGCTATGTTTCAAAAATATGAGCAAATACCATGGAAAAGGGTTCTGTACCCTGAAAGAAGTGTTCAGCAGCACCTCTGAAGCAGAAGCAGAGTTGGGCTGAAGGCAGTTCTGAATGTCAAGGAGCACAGAGGCAGCAAACAACAGTCTGCTGCCCCTCCTGACACTGTCTGGGTCAAACCACTTGGAAGTTATTACCCACTCCTCTGAGCAGCCTCTGAGTAAGGAGCTGTCACTGTGGAGCCTGCAGAGCACTTCTGTGCTAAACTTCTAAGGCAGCTGCTATCTCTGTGTCTCCTCCTGGGTTGGGGTTCATTATGAAGGCAACCCACAACAAAGGCCTGAAGCAAAGTGTGAGATGAACAACATCTGCTTGAAAGATTATGAAAAAGGCACATCAAAGAGAGCCAGGCTGCAAGCTGGCCCAGAGGAGTCAGAGCAGGGGCCTGGGGAGCCTGGGAGGCGAGTTCATCCCAGCACTTCACACCTAGGAAGCATCTGGCCATTTTTCCACACAAAGGTTTGGCCATTTCCCCCTCTGAAGCTTGCTGCAGGCACCCACTGAGTACTTTCACCACTCATTATTCTTTCCTCCAGAAACTTCCACAGCACAGCTTGATACAAACCACATGTTTCCTCAGTAATCTTACTAGACACATACCTTAGAAAGCTCATATAAACAGAGAACCTGTCTGCAGTAATTCCTGCCATGGACACATTCTTCTATAAGAGCCTTCAGGCTGATAACAACTTGATCATCTGGAGGTGGAGCCACAATGTGAGTCCAGTCTTCTAAGCCTGATGCTGGAAACAAAACCACTGTCAATTCCTTTCTCACAAAGACTGGTAACACCAACAAGCTTTATCCTTGGAGCTAGGCTCCAGATATCTGCAGCAAATACATAACACTTCCTCGGTCTTTGAAAACTGAACTCAATAATACCTCGGATGTACAATTTCTAGGCATATGAGAACATAAGGGTTCAGCAGCTTAGGCTTCATTTATTCCCTTCTGTTTCTATTAAACTTTACAGATGTTAGTATCAGAAAGTAACGTTCCAGCTGAAAGCTTTCTCATTCAGACTTCACAAATATGCACAGAGTACTTTATATATCAACATTATCAGCCTTAGCCTTGCTATTAATACAAAACACTAAACCCTTTACAATGTACAGAGTATTCAGAGAATCATTACTTAAAGCATTTCCTTGTTTCAGCTCCAGAAACACGCTCAAGATTTACTAGCGTCTGTCTTCCAAAAGCAGGAACATTGATGAAGCTCAGTGCTACTTTATCAGAACAGAAATGTGAAGTATAAAAAAATGAATGGTTATGAGACTATAGAAACTGTTTATAGAAGCACCCTGCCTGCAGCACATACAAGCAATGTACGTTACAAGGCTTCAAATTCCTTTCACCAGAAGGTTTATGAACCAAGGAGATAACCCACTGCCACAGAGACCTTCTTTCCTGCAGAAATGCTGAGGGAAATTAACACTGTCACAGAAGAGGAGAATCCAGTGGAACCCAACAATGGTATTACTTGTGATGTGGCTGAAGTTACTCACCACTCAGAACTCTGCTGTGCTCAGATGTGCTGCTTTCAGATGACTTCTCTCTTGCTATAAGGAGAGTCTGAATATCTGGGTGCAGGTTCTCTAGATCAGCCTCCCCTGAGGCCAGGGCTCTGCAGTGCAGAACCAGTGAAACATCTCTGCTGTAGAAGTGGAAATACTGGCAAACACGGCTGGCTTCATGCACGCTGCCTTCATCGAGGAGGCACCCGATCAGAACCTTGAGTGACTGCTCCTCATCACAAGTCAAGGTCTGCTGAGACTCTCTGAATGCAAGCCCCTCTAGTTTTAAGTACTCTGGTCTGTTGAGAGCAGGTAGCTTTGAGAAAGAAAATTCCTTTGCTAAGTCATCAAAGGTAAGATCTGGGCTCACAGCAACATGGGAGGAGAATCTTGATGTGCCTGACCCCTCAGCAGTGGGTGACGGTTGTGCGATGCGACAAATCCAGATCTGCTTCTCTATTGCCTCCAACTCATGCAATGACACCGAGTCACTCTTGGCAAGCCAGTGGCCAGCCAGGGTAAGCAACAAATGCCTCTCCATGATGCTGGTTATCTTCTCATGAGCTAAAGACTCAAATACCGTGTTTGCCTGATCGAAAAAGAAACGAGATGCAGCTTTGCTGGAGACCGAGTTTTTCATGAAGCTGTCATTACATTTCTTCCAGAATTCAGTTCTTGTCTGGGTTTGGTGCCACAGTCCAAGCTCTCTTAAACGATGCAGATCTCTTAGAACCTGCAAAATTCACAGAGAGTTTAAATACCCGTCTTTCCAAGAAAGAAAATTCACACTGGATGGCCAACATAGTGAGAAACTGAACTGAGATTCAGTGTCTCAATATGCAACAAATCCACCTATTTACTCACCAAATAAAACTGACTGCATAGCAAGGGAAAAGAGTAAGAGAATAAGGAAAGCTACGCTGTCCCTTTCAGCTCAGCACCCACAGCCAACTTGTCTGCTGTACTTGCACTTAAAATAAAAAGTAATTTCAAGAAAAAAATGGTTTTCAAAAAGGCTGAGAACTAACATTCTCAACACTGCCAGTACTGGGAGGAGTAAGAGGTGAGTATCGCTATTTAACTCTGCTGTACCTCTTGTGTAACTACGCTGTCCACGGGCAATTCAGCCAGTGCTGCTACCTCCCGAGCCAGTGAGAACATCCCTTTCTCTTGCAGCTGCTCCAGAATCGATCTGCACTCACTCTGGAATGTCTCCAGATCAGAACTGGTTAGGATGGAGCGATTAATTGCTATGGAGGAATCCTTCAGGATCTCACTGAGTGCACAGAGTTTCTTCACGTAGGGGCCTGTTGTAAGAGAGTAGAAACATCTAAAGGCTTTTAAACCTGAGGAAATAACTGCTGCTTATTTCAGCGTGCAACCCTGCCAGAGGAGCACAGATCTTACACTCTAAAGCTTTCACGGGACTGAAAGTCAGCTCTAAATCCATAAGTAAAATACTTCTGCAGATAATCCGTGCACTCCTCCACAACACTTACACATAATCACTCTCCCAGACTTACACACAGTTACACTTTCACGACTGCAACTCACTGTAAGGACCAAGTCTGGTTGTGTGAATCCTTACACAGTGTGAATACACTTAAAGTAAATATTTTCACTCACTCCAGAAACACTCTAGGTGGTCTTTAGATTAAAGAGGTACACCAGCTAACAGAGGAAGCCGTATTTACCATCAAGCAGAAGACCATCTGCTGCAGCAAGCAGCTGTAAGAGCTTTCCCAATTCATATTCCGTTCTACATTGCTGCATCATCAATTCAAGAAGAAACAAGGTTTGTGATTCCAACCACTGCACAGGGAATTCTGAGGCTGCTGGCTCATCTTCGGTTTTAAGCTGTGTAGATAAAATCTTTTAAGTGTTGGGTTTTTCTTTTTTTTGCAACCATACTCTGCATTTTGGTGGGAATTGTGCTGGAAATGGAAGGTACTGGATCTGCTTCCTCCTTTAAGAAGAAATGAACTGCCATTGCTAAAGGGACAGCAATCTATTACAGATGCAAGTTTGACTTTGATCCGAAAGTAGTAAATTTTATGAAAGGGTGACCACAAATTACTCCTGATAATCATGGAAGAGATAAAAGATGCAAGAGGGATCAGAAATGGATAGATAAAATAAATTGCTAGATCAATAGCTCCTGTCATACTTCTGTATACTTGATAAGCATATATGCTGTGTGAGCAGCACACAGGTAAACCGGTGTAGCTCTAGCTTGAATTGCAGGAAGGAAAACCAGTAATGACATGAAATGTTCATTACCAGGATATTCAGGGAACTAGAAAACTGTGATGGAAAGGGAAGAACTGAAATCATTTCTGAAACATCTTGGTCACTATTTTCATATACAACATTAGATCCCATTCTAGTAAGGGAAGAGTCAAGCAATGGCATTTAGAGAAAATGAGTACTTACTTTTGTGAAACTTTCCTGAAACTTGTCCAGTTTGGTTTTAGCTTCACTGTATTTTTTACAGTTCATACACAGTTCATACATCTCCAGGATATGCAGTAAAGGGGAATCCTTCCAGACACAAAACCAGGTTAGAATTCTTTCCTAAAAGTACCTCAATAAATGTAGCCTTTATCTTCCTCAGTAGCAGAGCAATAAACTTCCAATTTATTAAAACTGCATGCAAGGCTGATACTTGATTTGAAAATGTGTAATAACTGGAAGAACTTCCATTCAAGATTTTCCTACTTGATTGGGATTTTCAGTGGACTGCATCCAGGTTATCCAGGCCACAAACAGCAAGACAGAGGGAGAATCTGTGGGCTACCTCTTCAACACCATATCAGATACACTTAAAAAGACATTACCATACCTTTAAAAAGAGCTGGAAGCCATTCAGAAGTGTTCTACTTTTTTGCTTTCTTAAGAACACTTTCCAGATAACTGCCAGGTCATGAAGATCCCATTCATGGTTTTCTGCTGAGCTCTGAATATGGTTTGTTGCTTCAGCTCTGGTAGCATCATCCACAGCAGTAATTACCCAAACACAGAGACAATGAAGAATGTTTGCATCCTGTCAGAAGACAGAACGATGGTTTATAGAATAACCTCATTATGTACTACTTGGTGAAATGTGTCATAATAGTCACAATTGTTACAAACACTGAGAAAACCCCTCAATGAATCACAGAATCATATCTACCATTGCACATGATTATGCACAACCATCACTTTTTCATTACTTATTCTTCTAAGAGATGAATAACTTCATCAATACTCACTTGGAAACATGCTGCTAAGACACTCAGAATGGGAGCCTGCTCTCTCAATCCTGCAGTCAAAAGGTAACGTGAAGGGTTTGAGTTCCCCTGACACTGAAAAAGGATTTGGAAGAGGCTATCTGCATATCTGCCCTTAAGCACACTGGCAGCACTGCTTCCAGCACTCCCTGCAGCAGGACACACACCGGGTAGCTTCTCCAAAGCCAACATCAAGTGATCTTGTAAAGTGGGAGTGAAATCTTGAAGGACAGAAATGACCTAGGAAAAAAGAACCAAAAGCATCTATACAGAGTGAGATCCAAAGAGAAAGAGTGGGCAGAACGACCAAAGCATTAAATACATAGAAAATACAAACCATTCTTCAATTCTGACTTTTAGAACGATTTTGGAGACCTAGAGAAGTGTTCTGTCTAATAAAATACTGAAGTTCATCCTCCTACATGAAGCTAAAATGCCTCATAGAACACTCATTTCTGTCATATCTCTCATACTACCAACACACCATGAAAAGTGTCTGGTTAGTTGCTGTTGTGTAATCACATATTTTTCAAGACCACACTGAAAAGATCCAGGTTAAATTCCTAGGCCTGCTCGTTATCATCTTACCTGGAACTCTCCATTAGCCTCCTCACATTACCCTTCCCAAATTGCTTTTCATTTTTACATGCTAGTAATATTTTATTAATTTTTAAATTACATTCTAAACCAAAAATGGAAGATTTGGTTCCTCTCTGTGTTATCTCCACAACCTAATATTCCCTTGTTAAAAGAATCTATTTTTTTCCCTCTTTTTCTCAACATCACACACAAAGAACACTCTTGACAAACTCTGTCTTCCCTTAAAATCAGACAAAGGTAGCTTACCTCATCTGGCTGGTAGCTGTACAGCTGGCTTTGGATGATGAACTGCAGCCAGTCATTGCATTTGGCACATTCCTTCAGGTAAGACGTACTCAGTCTGATATTATGGAGTTTACAGAACTGCATTACCAAAGACCACTGCCTTCTAGAGTCACTGCATGTTCTGTATGGGATTTAAAGAGCTTCAGCTGTAATAAACTCGTATTTATACCAGACGTTAACAATGTACAATCTCATCACGTGGCCTGAGATCCACTGCCTGCAAATGGCCACACCAGCACTTCCATGGACTTCACCACAGATTAAGTCACATTCCATTGTGGGAGCTCCAGTCCTGCACCCTGTGGACATTCCCACCCACCACAGCAGATACATTGCCCTACCTGGACAGTGCTTGTTTTGAAACTAAGTCAATGATGTTCCCTTCTCAATGTGCTGCAAGAACTCTGTGGAGCAGCTTGTCCAACATGCTGACTGCACCTCCTTATTCTTGCCACATACCTCTACTACCTCTAGTATTTGAAATACCAGGACAAGACTCTAAATTCAAACACTGTTGTTCAGTTTACTGCAATAAAGCCCATGTGGATATTTTTTGTATTATCTGAACACACAAATGGTAAAATTCAGTGCTCAATTCCATTTGCCAACATAATCCTTTAAATCATGATTTACTCACTTCATTATTCCTTGCTGCTCAACTGCATCCCAAAAGGCTTCTTCTAAGGAGGTAAGAATTTCTGCTGCAGTTGCTTTGTCACCATCAGCCAATTTTCTTAACTTTTCAACTGTTTAAAAGAACATATTATTATTTCTGGGATGTTATTTGGGATTAGAGTAAGGGTAATATTTTCAAAAGTACCAAATAGTTTCCTAGTTAGGACAAAAAGACACCTGTGGACCTATGGTTAGAAATTCAAGTTTCTAAAGGTATTCCTAGGATAAATCCTTAGTAATAATTATTATTATAAATTTAATAATTTCATTAAAGCTTTGAACATCTGATTTTACTGCAGCTCTAAGATAGTTTTCAAGTATGAGAGAGAAAAAAGATTTGGAAACGGCCCCTTGTTTAATCCTCTAGTTATATTATTACATTAGGCTGAACCTTACTAAGTATTAAACTAAGCCTTCACCAGCTGTTGCATAGTGTCTGTTAGATACTCCTGCAGGTCTGGCTGCATGTCACATTACAGTCCTGCACTGTTTAACGTGCACTCAAAGTCAGTATGAAGCAGGAATAAAAGAGCAAAATTCTCAGCCCTTCAATGGACAGGATGCTTTTACTGCATTCCTGAGAAGCAACTTTCAACCCATCCCTGCTTCCCTTCCCAACGTATACAGAGTACCCTATCTGAAAGCAAACAGAAGACACCCTTACCCAAAGATTCTCTTATTTGACTGTGCTGAGAATCTTTATGTCTTGTTCTGTAACTGAAAATCATGTTTGCAACTTTAACATCAACCCTGAGTTTGAGGCTGTCGAGACCGAGTAATTCCAGGAAACAGGCACAGGCTGCTCCTACTGAAGGTGCACTGAAGAGAGAAAGAGCTAAACCATAGGCTTCATTCCCTGCCTGCTGAATCCTGGAACAGAAAGAGCAACAGTTAGCACGGTGATTTGCAACCAATTTCCAAACATGAATGTTCCTCCCATAAACAAGTACTTACAAGATTTACTAAATGTACAGCCTTTAGTAGCATGAAAGAAACTTACAACCCGTAAGTTTCATATCTATATTAATAAAAAGTTTCCTATTTATATTTTAGAATCTTTGCTGTTTACATAAGTGAAACTGATTTGTATAGAAATGAGGAAAAGAAACAAATAGTGACTAATACACAGCTGCATTCTAGGCATTCTAGAAACAAAGCAATTTGTTATGATGTAATTCCTACTAATTTTGAATATACTTCATAGTAAATTTAATATATTCAAGCAAGATGTGTAATTTGAAAGTATCCTTTTGACCACATGGTTTTGAAGCTTCAGCCAGAACATTTAATTCCTTCAATCTCCAGTAGATTTATCTTCTTAATCTCCAGTAAATTTGTCTTATTAATTTAACTATATGAAAAGTCAAAGGGACATCTTGTTTCTAAAGTGATCTAGAGGCTCAGGTCCTTGGAAGAGAAGCCTACCTGTGTTTGATATGACTGGAACAGTTTTCATCCCTTGCTTTCACTGTGCAGATTTATTTAGGCAATTCAACACAAAGCTCACCCTCACTCAGGTGATATTTGATTTTTATCCTACTTGATGCTAGACTGAATAGTCTCCTACGAGACCCAAAATTTCAAGTGATGCCATGCACACCACCTGATGGCTGTTGGCAAGGATTAATGTTACTCCATGTGCTAGATTATAACTTCAAAAGAACTGTCTGACTGTCATTGTTGAGAAGACTTACAACTGTTTGGGGGATTTGCTCTTTACTAACTGCTGGACCAAAAATGTCCCAAAAGCAAATGATGGACGTCCATGGTGCAAATAGTACAAAAAGTCCAGTCGTTCCATTATAGCATATTTGTTCACCAGTTCAGGGGATGAAAAGTGAGGAAAGTCACTTGATGCATCTAGAAAGAATCATTATTATTATGAGCTGATAAACAGTTGGATTACATACAGAAAATGACTTGCAGCTGCAAAACATGAGCTGACAATCAGGCACCCCTCCTCTTGCCCTAATTCAAATCTCAGCGTACCCAAACCCACTGAAATTCCGATTCTCATTGTAAAATCAGAACTCTGGATCACTTATAAACCCTCAACTTGCTTTTAAAAGAAAATATTGCTTTTCTGTCTCATAATATCTTTAGACAGAACTCTGTGAAGAGCTTAATGGAGAAAGGGAACTTATTGAGGACTTAATTTCAAAACAAATTTTAGTAAATGACCCTATTTTTTTTGGTAAAAGAACTGGCATTTTGAGTAAGCTTTATCTGCCAAGTCACTTCACTGGAAGGTGTTTTATCCCAGGTGCTCAGGCTAGGAAAGCATAGAAAACTTGAAAAGTAACATACCTGACACAGCAAGAGTATTTGCTGACTGCCAGCCAAACAGTTTAGTGGGATCAAAGGGCACTAATGACTGAAAGATTAGAAAGAAAATATATTGAGACAGCTTAAGATTTTCACATCAGACTATGGAACATTTTAGGGAGCTACAGTAGCAGAGAATCAGGAATGGCCTGTGCTGCTATCCAGCAGTGATCTGCCTTGTGCAGCTCTCTCTCAAAGGCGCATATTTATCTACTCTGCATGATCTGAATACAAACAAGTGCAAGGAAAGATGTGAACTTTGATCTAGGGCAAAAGGGGAAGAACATGCTTAAGTGTTTTCTAAACTGTGATCTTAGCAAGGCCAGCACTTCCCTAATAATGAATAATACATATTATTTCTTCCAGCATTCAGGTTTTCTCATACCACAGATCTGAAGTGAAAGGCATTTGCCCAGGAATGTGTTAGGACATTCCAGGAGACACTATCCTTTAATCCTAAATTTCAAAAAACATTTTAACTTCTGTAATACTGAACAACCTACCCGCTAAGTACAGCAAGAGTATCACTGCTCTCACATGCCAGATTGCTGCAGTTAAACACTGTCTGTACCTGTCTGGGGAACAGGGGGAAGCGACTCACACTACTTAGATACCATTTAAAAACCTGTTCAGAATGAAGCTATAAACTTTATCTCCAAATGAAGGATTCCAAAGAAACAAAATGTGGTCCCCACCCTCCAGGCATTAGCTGAAAATAAGCTTCTCTTAGTTTACTTTTGTTCTGCCAAAAAGCACTACTGAGAAGCACTCTGTGTACCTGAACAAGATGGTAGAGAGAGATGTCAGGTGGCAGAATTCCATGAGGAGTACACGGTGGAAAGAGAGCAGCTTTGAGCTTGGGGTAAGGAGTCAATGCCATTTTTAGGAGCTGTGGATCAACCTTCTTTAGAGGATTTTCCGTATCTTCATTCTGAAGAACCTGCATTGCAAGGAAGCAAAATGATTCTGTTAGGAAGGAGTAACTGCATTAGGATCGTAATAAAACAATCTCTGAATGCACCAAACTACCTCATGGGAACCTGGCATGTGGTGGCAACACAGAAAGTCCCATTTGCTGCACACAGTACCTGATCAATACCTCCGGGTGCATACATTGTAGTAGCAAGTGCTAACAGTGTACGTCCTTCCAGCAGCATGCTACTCACACTGGCTTGGTTACTAGGAATCAGGATCTGAGCATTTGCTAGACTAGCCTGAAAAATCATCTTTGGATCTGAAAGAAAAGAAGAAAGATTTAATTTCATGCAAAACGAGTACTACATCATTAAATCATGCATTACAACTGTTCTGTGACCCGGAAAAATGCTAGGGTTTTGTTGTTAACAGTTATTTTTCTCAATTTACTTATAGACACAGAAAAGCTGTCCCAAATTTTACTAAGCTTTTCCCAGTTTCAAACCACAGCTTAACCTACACAGGTGGATTTGGATTGAGTCCCACAGTTCAGTGTTGTATTGGTTCAATTCTTTATCCTACACTGCTCACACTTCCTGAAAAAGCTTCACTTGGGCTTATTTTTATCATTTGTCAATGTGTGGCTCTACAAAAGCTGAGATGTTCCACAAAAAAGTAAAAGGGCACAAATTTTATTGATTTTCAATGGCAACAACAAAACCCCCCAAAAGCAAACACATAATCCAAGAGGCAGTGAACTAAAAATGCACCACAAGAATTAGAAGAATCTTTACTTTTAACATGTATGGATTTTCTTATGAATTCTCCTGTTCAACCTGCTGGGAATGTAACCAAATTGGAGGTAATGATGATCATACACAAAAAATTTCTCACATATCTACAGCCTCCAAATCTTTATGTCCAGTTTAAGCAGGAATTGTAATCCTCAATTTAGAGATGAGGAATTAATGCACATACAGATGATTTGCCATGGACATGAAAAGGTCTGCAGTAGAGCAGATAATTAAACCCAACTGTGCCCCAGACTCAGCAGCATAAGCATGGGACCAGGTCCTGCATGGCTGGACTCCTACCTTGTGGGTTACTGGCAACCCCTCGACACTGCACCAGGAATTCGAACCAGGGATGTGCTTCATGCAATTCCTTGTTATCCAATATTGGGCAATTTGAAGAAGTTAAACTGGAAACGAGTGAAATTACAGGATTTGTAACCATCCTCTGTCCCAGTATAACACTGCATTAAAAAGTAAGAGCATCTAACTTGCTCCTACAGTGGCTTATTCCATCCACTTGGATGAAAGAGCCAAATCACACCACCCTTCTCCACAAGCTGTGCAGCTTAAGCCCATGTGGCACCACTGACGTCTCCCTTCTCTGTTCCTGTGCTTGTTTGCCTCTGTAAATCAAACTAATAATTTCCAGACCTGCCAACCCCAAACACTTTCTAAAGAAGGGACCTGACTCACAAATACCACTCTGCACAGTCTTTTATGCAAACTAAAATTGATTATACAAACAAACAAATCCCCCCCAAAAATTATTGGCTTTTTTTGTGGTCCATTTCTATTTTCTTAATAATTACACTGTTACAGTGGAGTTACAGCTACGAAATTTTAACTGCAAGGTACTCATTAAGAGGAATGCATTCATATAGTTGCAATACCAAATATTGCTTTATCCTTCCAACCCCAGCTAATCCTTATTTAGATGCAAACCAGCAATTTCTTTATTTGTGAATGTATCAAGATTGAACTCGTACTTGTGCTCAAGTGAGAGTTTCTGAAGAACCAGCTGTCCTGGTGCCTTTAAGATTCTATTGCTTATAACATTATACTAATGACAACTGTAATTGTTTCCTTTGATGAGTGATGCACAAATTCATATTGATGAGATGACCTAAATAAAGCTTCAGAATACAGCACGAACCCTCACACAGTATTTCACTGCATGACCCTGCTGTGACCCAAGCAGCCTTTCTTGCCAAACACAAGGGCTGAGGAAACTCTCACTGCCAACTATTAGAAGTGTTTCATTATTTAAATATTCACAAGATTTGAGGGGTGAAAAGCCTTCATACCTGTAATAGTCTAAGTAAGTGTATAACAGATACTGCAAATTATGTTCTAAACAGTGAAGGACGAAACGAGCGTGGAAGTCCAAACCACCTGCAGCACTGTACTTTGGAACAGGGTGAGGAGTTTGCAGAACTCCCCCGAGGTAGGACAGTCTCTGGAGCAGAAGTTCAAAATCTTCCAACTCAGAAGAGACAAAAACTCCATTTCTATCAGGAAAGAGAGAAAGCACAGGCACTGATGAGACAGTTACCTCTTCAGCAAGCTCTGAGGGGTGTTTTCAGTTCAAAATAACAAAGCAGACCTTTCCTTCTTGGGGAAGTACCTTCACTACTGAGGTAAACACAACATGCCAGAATACCTCTGACAGTATCAAACAATACCACAGTTACTACAGTTCACCGCAGAGAATGAGGCATAAAGAGTGACATGCTCTGTGCATTAAAATGGGCATCAGAAATGTAATCACTGTGAAAGATCAAAGGGCTGATGGAGGATTTTTATTGCTCTCATGTTTCTCACTGTTTTCAGATAACAAAGTGCAAGTACAAGACTAAAATTCAATTTATTAATGGATTTGTGCTGCTTAAAAAAAAGGCACTAAATACAATATAAAAATCAATACATATCAAAGATGTTACTAACATGTACTGCTGTAAATATCTGATTTTGGCTTCAGCTATGACTGGAAGCTGTACAATGCATCAAGGGCACATACCTTGCCAGCTTGTTTAATATGTCATTCCTCATGTAGCTACTACATAACATGTTCCTGTCAATGATGTCTGGAGTAAGTGGGGGCCAGTTAGCTTCTCCACACAAGGCCTGGCTGCGCTCAGATTCTTCAATCCAGGAACAAATATTAAGCCAATCATGCTGGGCTGTCAAGTGCATCCAAAGGACCTCGGGATTACATGTCTTGAGCTCTGTGTTTTGGAAAGGCAAAGTGATGAAATCAGCACAGACACCACCAAGGGAAATAGTGACACTTATACATGCACATATTTTTAATGAATGGTTGCAAATATCACGGTGAGATTAAGTATGCTGTTACAGCTTGCTAGAGCTTTAGGTTGGAAAAGCTGAATGTAATACCACAGTGTAATAAGCTCTACAAAATGTAGCAGAAGATGACATTTAAAAGTCCCTTTCAGCTAGTTCCAAGTTTTTCCCTACAGGAAAAACACAGATCCCTGCCAGAAGACAACAGAATAAAACCACTTGTTTCACCCATTTTCAATGACAAAAATTGAATGAGCTACTGTGGTAGCACAAACTTTATTTGTATCAGTGCCACTCCTACACAATACTAAGTCAAAGACACGTTTTTAGTTCCAAATTCTTCTGAATCCTCAGTAACACAACACTTGCCTTGGCGTGGTTTTCTGGGGAGAAGAATCATTTCCTGAATGAGCTCATCCCACCACTGGGCCCAGTTAAACATCACTCTGACTCTCCTATTGGGTACCCGACGTCTATCGCAACTCAAGGAGTCCAGAACAGCTGAATGTCCAGAAATGTCTTGTTCCTTTCTCCAGTTCTTGAAACTGCAATGAAGAATTGCAGTAGAACCTTCTTTAGTACTCTTTTAAAAACAGTCTAACACATAGATGATGATCCTGCCTCTTTACTCTGCTCCTGTGAGACCTCACCTGGAGCATTGTGTACAGTTCTGGTGTCCTCCACATAAAAAGAACATGGAACTGTTGGAACAAGTCCAGAGAAGGGCCACGAGGATGATCAGGGGCTGGAGCACCTCCCGCATGAAGACAGGCTGAGAAAGTTGGGGCTGTTCAGCCTGGAGAAGAGAAGGCTGCGTGGAGACCTCAGAGCAGCCTTCGAGTATCTGAAGGGGGCCTATAGGGATGCTGGGGAGGGATTCTTCATTAGGGACTGGAGTGATAGGACTTAAACAGGGGAAGTTTAGATTGGATCTAGAGAGGAAATTCTTTCCTGTTAGGGTGGTGAGGCACTGGGATGGGTTGCTCAGGGAAGCTGTGAATGCTCCATCCCTGGCAGTGTTCAAGACCAGGTTGGATGAGGCCTTGGGTGATATGGTAGGGGGGGTTGGAACTGGATGATCTTAAGGTCCTTTCCAACCCTAACTATTCTATGATTCTATGCAAGGGTCAACAAATTTTGCCAGTCCATTTTGAAGAGGGTTGTTCTTCCCCCTGAAGAGGGACTTACTTCAGCTACAAGTCTGAGAATTCATGCGAGAGCAATGAGCAGAGAATTACCTCATTTTTCCCAAACTGGCATAGCAACTGATAAATACCATGACATTTTACAATTAACTGTAAAATGATTTTTCAAGGAGATTGCTTTATTACAGCAATCAAAACTAGAGCAAACATTCCATTTGAAACATGTTTCATTTGATTAATAATGCTAATTATATCATTTGTTATAAAAATACTTCATTTATGGAGGTGATGACATGAACAGAAGACTGCTGTTACACTGATAACAGTACATCATGGCTTAGTCTGGAAAGAACATGACAGCAACTGATTGTTACATTAATGAAACAAGTAATCAGTTCCCACACTGACCCTTGGTTCTGCAAATGAAGACCAGCATGAAAACAATTAAATTACAGAAGACTGTGTTTGTTAGTGCAATAAATCATAAGGAATGAAGAAACCAGCATATTATAAACCCTATTAACATTATCAATTAATAATGAGAACCAATAAGCCCGCATTACCTGGCAAGAGATTGAATCTCTCTATTTTCTTGGGAGGATTCCGAGTAAAAGCTTTCAACCTGATGCACAAAGTCTATCATTTTCTTCTCTTTCTCAGAAAAATAATTTTCTTCTCGTAAAATTCTCACCTTTAATTCAAATGAAAGTATAACCTCCAATTACAATTTTTATTTACTTATAAGATATTAAAGTTGTAAATGATCCTGCAAGTGTAAGCAGTTAACCAACCAACTGTAGGAAATAAAGTTGGAAGCATTGAGTGAATACACTTAAATAACAAGAGGGCCAGGACTTCCCAGTGTGTGCAAGCAGATGGGAACTAGATCAGAGCCAGAACACAGAAATGACTTCTTAATCCATTTTTACTTTAACTGCAAATACAAAAGAGCACAGGCATGTGAATGGCATGTTCCAGCGACTGCACTGTAAGGATGCAGGGACAAACCTGCCTGTTCCCATTCTGAAAGCATGATCAATACAGTTATTTCTCTCAGCATAAATACACAGCAGACTTCAGACCTGAGAACATCAGTTGGACAGAAAACTACACTTACCAACAGATCTCGTACGTGTTTATCAACTGTGTAGAAACAGATCTTACGCAATTCCTCCTTCACATCAAAGCCCTAACAAAAAAAAGACACTCATTGTATGCAAACTGTACAAATGCAGTGTGCAGTGTACAGAAACTGTACAGTGACAGAACGAGGGCATCTGCTCGCTTTCCAAAGCACATAACCTTTTAAAGGCAAACTGTGATATTCACTTCACCAGTTACCACAGATGGCATAACCCAGGGGTCTGCCAGATGTCTCCAGCATGCCTGGATATGATATCAGGATATGCTGGATATGCCTCCAGCATGTGTATCCTTTACTACCTGACTTGCCAGAATCACCTTTACACTTTGCTGATCATCACATCAGTCAATACACACAAATAGGCTCCTCAGCATGCTGAAGGCACTAGTGAGCAAACAGTTCTTTAAAACAAGTTAATTTTCACTGTAATACATGTATCTGGCAGAATTAATGCATCCATAAGACACCTAAATGCTTCCCATCCTCTCAGCACTCAGGTATTTCATTAGTCACCAAGAAGGGTTGAGATCAGCATGCTTACTGAACACCTCTCACCATGTTTCTTAACAGTTCTGAGGCCTCTCTGGTGTTGTCCTTCAGAAGCCGGTCATAGACCAGGTTCAAACCTGTCTGAGTAAATTCCTGAAGACTTTGAGCAGGATGCTGATGCTTCCGGAAGAAGGTCTGGGCCTCTGGCATTTTGTTGTTTAAGATGGCCTCAGCAATGACTTCCTAAAAAGGGGAAAAAAAGGAATGAACTGATATCAATAATCTTCAGGGTTACAATCTTTATAAATCCTACATTGATTTTTTTTCCACATTTTAAATACATTTCCATATCAGTAATTTCCTTAAATATACTTAAGAAGCGTTATAGGAAATTGATTACTCATTTTTACCTCTGGGGTCAGTTTTTCCCACATGTGGCTTTCTTCTAGTTCAGGCAGCTCTTCATCAGGATCACTTCCTGTGTGCACGGGCTTTATTTGTGGTTGAGGATATTTTCTCAGGAATTGTCTCAGTTTAATAACGTAATCAGTTAAAATATCTGCAGCCTTCTGCAGGAATTCATCAGGTTCTGTCAAAAGCATCCAAGACACCAGTTAAACAGAAATGAACAATACAGCACTTTTAATGCTTGGCAATGTCGAATGTGCTCTCTTGACTAATAAGCAGGACACACCTCAGAGGAGAGAGCTCTGCCCTGCAGTGTGACCTGGGCAGGTACTGATACCTCCCACCACTACCAGCACACTGCCAAGACAGTCACAATTCTCCAGAGGCACCCCCTGTCCTCACTGTGTGTTTTCTCCTTCAGGGACAAGCAAACAAGAACTGAATTTTTTTATCAATCCATCCCATTATTACCAGGGTAAGTCCCATTTAAAATGCAGGGACTTTTCAACTTAACATTCATGCAGTAAGAAACAAAGACTACTAAAAATCACGTAGGAAAAAAGAGATGAACAGTTACTGGTCTGCACCATTTACTCTCAGAAGAAATAAGGTCTGCTTTAACATGCAGAGCCTGTTGGTCCACTGACTAAGAAGCATTGCTGAGGCAGCAACCCAGACCCAAGCAGCAGGACAGCATGCTGTATGGTGGGACATGGCACCCCCTCTCAACAGCTTTCTCTAGCAAAACAGAATTGCCCTCTGGAATGCTGCCATTTTAATACTCACTAGCTATGAGCTGTGGCTCTATTCTTGACCCTTTCAGGCTGTAGTGCAAAGAGCAACCTTTCCATAACTGTGAAAGAGTAAGCACTCCCACACTCCCACATCCAGTCTGCAACCCACCAGACACTGCCTCTTGCTCCCAGCCACCCCTCGGTTATCCTGGGATGTGTGACTCTCTTGCCACCCAGCTGATCGGACTGGGAAGTGATCCAGATAAAAAATAACCTGGTAGGCTATTTATTTTCAGCTGTATCAGTTTCTTAAACTGGTCTATTCCATTCCACAGCCACACAAATATTTTGCCAGAGTATTTTCAGTGGTAGCATTGAGAAAAGCAGGAGCAGCTGAGGGCTGCTCATGCCACTTAACAGCACTGCCACCAAGCATTTAGCAATAGCTGCAAGTCCCATCATGCCATTCTTAGCCATCCCAAAAAGATCCTGTTGATAGTATCCTGGCTGACCTGCGAGCCTGACTGTAGCTGTTTGGGCTAACACAGATACTCTAGCCAGATTAATTTCTCATGTTTCCCTTTAAGCAACATCTTTCATTCACTTCTTTCTAGCACTTTGTTGTAGTTATTTCTAGGCAAATCTAGGCTTTTTAATATAAAAAATTTAGTGGTTCTGACAACTAATGACACATTACTACATATGGTTCAAAATGAGTAATCTCACCCTCGGTGTGCACAAAGATTTCGTCCAGTTGCTTGGTGAGGAAAGTCAAGGTGAGGTTTAGCAGCTGCTCAGAAAAGTGTTTGCTGTGAGACTCTGTATCATTTTCCTTGATTGCTGAGCAAAGCAAGTTTAAAGCTGGCCTCAGCTCTTCCAAATCTGCAACATTTACACAAGAAGTTAAACCATCTGCATCCCACCATATGTCTGCTCACATAGATTTAAACTTCCAGTGGAAAGTCATAAAGGTATGCTACAAAATGTGTCAAACAATGTATGTAACATGCTTTGCCTTCACATCAAGATGCTTACAATGCATATGCCAATACTAGAACACAACCAGAAAACCCCTTACATTATGTATCATTTCTCCCTTATTTTCCAGAAGCAGAGAAGCTGCCATATAGCATCATCCAAACACACAGAGGCACAGGCAATTCAATCTGTTCTTACAAACACAGCCATAAATACCAAGGCAATTCAATTTAAACCTCTATGTAGCTGAAAGTTTTTTACTTACTTTTCAGGTAAGACTGGGATGTGCTATGAGGAGACTGCTCAGGTCCAGAGCTGGGTGCAGACAGACTGAAAAGACTTTCTTTGCTTTTTAAAAACAAGTTTACTGTGTCTAGCTGACGATTTTCCAAACCTGCCTAGACAAACATGCAGCAGAACATTAGCTATGTATTCTAAAATACGGACTGTATGCTCACTGCTAATATTTGTACTTCAGACTTGGTGACCAAGTGAACATGCAGAAAAAAAGAAGACATTTAAACTATGAGAACCTGTAGCCCAAAATAACAAGGTGACCTGGTAGGTACCTGCCATGCTCCTTTAACAGGCTTTGCAAAAACCCTGCCCCCTATCTTCAGAGGCAAAATGTTAATTCAGCAATCTATTACAGAGTTTGGTTTGGGATATAAGATAAGTACTGTGAGAATCAGCACTCTGAATACTTCCTTTGGGTTACTCACCTGCATTACTCGTTATTTCAATGGTTTATTTAATAACTAAACCACTAATTTGTGCCCCTAGGTTACTGAGGCATACTTTTAATTGCATCTAAACCCACCATTAACATTGCTAAACTGAATTCATTACTTTAAAGAAGCATTTTTGTCATCTGCAAGACACAAACCAGATTTCTTTACCTCTAGTGCTTGTATGGGAATTGAACACCGAACCCATCCATTGAGGTGACAAACAGCATCTACAACTCCAGCGCTGCTGTAGATCATCAGTCTATTCAGAAACTCTTCTTGAGTTACACCAAAGAGAACCAAGGACAAACCATGCTCTGAATGAAAGAATGAAACCACAATTACAAATAAATCAGCAAGGTGCTACACAGCAGGATTTCTATCTAGTACCTCTCTTCCTAAATAATGATGCGAAGGTGCAGTAGCTCCATTTAGATTTCACCTCAGCAAGAATGCATTAAAAATCAGACAACAGGGGACAGAAAAGAAGAGCACTAAGAAAAAAAAGGCTTTTATCAGAAGGCTACATGAGAAGAATTCTATAAACCCCCTCACCTGTCAGAAGCAGAGATAGTGGCACCTCCTCGCTGCAATCCACATATACACTATTTTTGCCAAAGCGGTAATAGGTCACATCTTGTGACTCGAAATCCCAGACAGCAAGAGTCAACCCTCTGTCATTTGTCAGTACTACAAACAGGGCTTTAACTCCAGTCACCAATTTACACTCCAGTTTCACCACTTCTTGTGGTGTTTCTTTGGGGATTTGCTTCCATTGCTGTGGTGCATTCCTGGGGTTTGTACCACTGCTCTGTGACGGCTTGGACAGTGCCCAGGTAAGAACCCATGGAACAAAAGATACCACTGTTTCAGAATCTTCAGAGATTTCAGGATCATGGTCTTCAAGATGGTTCAAAAACTGATACCAAGGTAAAGTCAAGTCGTTCACCATATCCGGAGAACCTGGTTTTCTTCTCCTTACTTTATCATACAGCGAGGATAAGTGCGCCTTCCAGGACCTGGGGTGAAGAAAGAAGTCACCTACAGCACCAGGTGTTACCCCAAGAATAATGAGTTCTCAGTTAAATAACATGTATTTTAAGCTTATAGATTCCACACAGCACCTTGCATTTTAACCTTCACATGTCCTGTTTATTTCTATGTAAATACTGTTTGCAGCTGAGCTAAATGATCACAGCTGCACTAGCTGACAATGTCCCTCAAGCTGAGCATTTTCAGCAGAATATTTTCTTTTCTCCACAGAAAATGCCCCATCAGTTAAAAAAAAAGTAAGATTAAATTAATTCCATAATTGAGTATTTCTTACATTGGCATCTAGTTATAATTAAAACATTTTATCAGTATTTATGCCTCTAATACTAATGGTCACAACATGGTTAAAAAGTTTTACATGAACACAAAATACGCATGCGCTCATCTGCGCTAAACACACAACTGTGAAGTACCTGGAATACAAAGATCTGTCAATACTGGTTCAAACTAAAGGTAACACCCTAAAGAGCAATTACTGTTTGGAAGCTGCTGGATGACATACGTAAAGTTGTCTCGGCCCATTTCCTAACATCAAAAGATTTAAAGCAAAATGAGCTGATTTTACTTGCCACAACTCCAGTAAAGAAGAGGCAGCAGTTTGTTATCAGTGATGTAAAGGAGGCAAACCCCAGCCTGGTATAGAGGTATGTTCATTATGTACCTGTCTGTGCGGAAAGGCAAGGACAGGAGCTGCATGCTATAGTCAGAACTAGCAAGGTCATCCTCATCAAGTCCTTCAGGAGGCTTCACTGGAAGTTTTTCAGGATCCCTCTTACAGAGCAAATGCTCAGGGAACTGTCTGAAAAGAAATAAATGTTAAACTTCACCTCTATCACAAAGCCGGAACTCAAATTAAAAAGCTCAGCACCTCAACTACTACAATACCAAGGTCAGGCACTTTTTGTTAGTTGTACTCAAACCTTTCACTCAGGAATTCTGCTACAAACACACCTGAAGTACATGTTCAGATCCACCAGGATGGCACAGTGGGAGGAACTGATGATCACAGCAGCACTGAGATCGTGCGACACTCTCACTGCAGTGAGTGGCACTGCAGTGGTTGGACTCGTGGCCTCACCCTTCACGTCCCCCTGCCACAGTGCTACATTGATGCTTCCTAGATTTGCACCATCAAAAGAGTCAAAGATGTCTTTAAAAAGTGTCAAAGAAAACACCAGGCCTGAGACTGAGCAACAAAGAGATGACATAGAAGTGGAAGAGGGCGACCTGCTGCTGACTTTGTGGTCCATCTCTGCACAACACAAATGTGGAACCCACCTATCAAAACACCGTTACTCTGGTGTGAAACAGATTTCCAGTGGCATGTTGAAAAACTACATTCGATACATGACTACAACATTTTTACAGCAACATCTGGCACTTCCCTACACACCCCTTTATTGAAAGCATCTTCTAACCAGACGCTCCAATGTCTTTCAAGAAATTTCTGCTTGACCCTGACAGAAAAGAGAAACAACTTTGTACTTCCAGATCATTTACACTGACAGCTACTCACTGCCACAAAGGATACAAATCCAGCCAGAGCTATCCAACAGGAACAGGATCCCTCTGCAGAAGTGGACATCTGTGATTCTATCCAAAACTTGTGGAGGTAAATCAAGGGTAAAGCAGTTGCTCGTCTCTAAGGATGAGTCTTCTCCACGAAAGGCAAGGTGCACAACAATGAAGGTATTGAGCAGCAGCGTGCACTTGTTGTTTTTAAAAGACAGTATCCTCAAAGAGAAAATTGAAGACAGACCTGTAAATGTAAAGGTATTTTAGGATTGTAATAGTCTGGTACCTTTTATTTGTAAAGACAGCTCAAGAAAATTGCAGCTCAAATTCATTGCCTCTGCTACCACCTTAATAAAAGCTGGCACGGAGGAAGACACACATATGACTGCCTTTGGTTTAAATCTCACTTTCTACACCAGCAGCACTGATTTTACAACAGCTGCCTAAAACAGTGCTGGATTTTTATGTAGAGTACTACAGAGAACACAAAAAATCACCACATAATGGTCAGCACTGAAAAGAAAAGCTGCATTTAGAAATAAAAACACTTTAGCCAGAGAGACTGTTTAACATGTGGAAGATCAAAGGCCTGCAGTGACTGTGCATCCTAACTGCACACTACATGTGCTAATCATAGAACATGAGCTTGAATGCATCCTTATTCTTCGCAGGGTTAGTGAAGACCCTTCTCTATTTCCTTCCCATCAGTTTCAGGATCAAAGGGGAAGTTTGAGCTAGCAGGGTGCATGATTATCATTCATTAAAGTGTACTTTAATTTCATCTCACCCAAACACCTCACCTGACGACAGTTTCGTTCCCCCCAACAACGTCATCTTTGAACACAGAAATGTCACTATTACTTTTCACTAGCACTGCTACTGATCACTTCAAGTCAGTGGGACACGTCCCTCCCGTGCAACACTACCGCCTCCGTTTTTCCACCAGGAGAAGCAGAATTAGAATACTTTCAAATACAGAATACACATGGAAATGTACTCACTAATGTTTTTAACTTCAAGGAGCTTTCTAAGCGTATCTTCCTTACAACTGTGCAGGGAAGCCGGGTTGTATTTTCCATCTTCAAGAGTGAACTCATAGACAAACAGTTCATGACTTTTACCAAGAGCCAGTATTTTGGTCTTGCCTGCTTGCGGATCATCTTCTGTGCTCTCCCACATGAAGCTGAAGATACAACAGTCAGTATGTTTATTGACCTCACTCTTTCCACCTTCCATACACTGAACAGTTCTGGCTGATGTACATTGTAACCTTAACCTTTTGCAGTGCAGATGCTGCCCCTACCCCATCCCTCCCCAACACTAGAAGGTATTTCACCCCAGCAGAGACTGCAATGCAAGACAGCACAGGAGGAACCCCTACTGCTCCTCCTCTCAAGAATACAGGGGATTTCTATCCTTGTGTGTTTCCTTCTTTTATTCATGCATGAGTGTGAGCAGAGCTGCGCTTCGGGACCTGGACGAGGAGCACCAGCACTGTCAGCTAGGGAGAAGCAGAGCATTCTGCCCATTCCCATATGCTTTGCCTCCCCTTGGCTCAGGCTGACAGACTCTCCAGGTGTGTCTCCAACCCCCGCTCTCCTACAAGAGGGAAATGGGCAGAGGAAGCACGGAGAGGCCCCTCAGTGAAACCCCCCGGCAGTGCTTGTCACCAGACACACCAGAATTGCCGTGTGGCCGTGGGTTTGACTCAGCATTAGAAGCTACCAAAGCAGATGAAAAACATCATGTGATTGCCGGCTGTCCCACACAGGAGCCTGCCCCTGCTCTCGGACAGGGAAGTCAGGGCACCATGAAACTGTTCACCAGAAACTCGACAAAACCACACACATTTTCTTCCTTGCCTTTTTTCCTTTGCCATCTCCCACGATGGATACACCCACAACTGAACAAACAACTCGATATAAATCAACGCCCCCTCCAGCAAAGGGATTTCCGTGCAGAGCCTCCCATTCGAGGCCAGGCTCCCTCAGCCCCCCTCAGCCCCTGCCCGGCGCCTCCTCCCTCCCGGGCAGCGCCCTCGGCCCCGGGGCCACCCCGCGCCTCTCACCGAAGCGGGGCGGTGCCGGGGACCCCGTCCGGCCTCCCCTTGCCCTGCCCCCCCCCCGCCACTTACTCAGCCCAGGCTCCCGGGAGGACGCTGCCGCGGGTCCGGCCGCCTCCGCCCGGCGCCAGGGACTCCAGGTAGATCCCGCCAGGGACCAGGAGGCTGCCCAGAGCGTCCTGGGCCCTGCTCAGCCGGACGCGGGCCGCGTCCCGCAGGGAGCCCCGCGCGTCCCGGGACAGGGGCGCCAGCAGCACCCGCAGCTCCCGCCTCGCCCGCTCCATCCCCTCACGGAGCCGCCGTCACCGGCCTACCGGCACCCCGCCATCTTGGGCGGGACGCCCCTTCCTTCCTCTCAGCTGACGGCGCTCACCAGTCCCGCGGCAGGACTGCAGCTCCCAGCAGGCCCCGCGGGCCAGCACCGCCGGGCGGGGCGGCAATGCCCGCTGGGAGCTGCAGTCCTCCTGAGAGGATGGCGCTGAGCCCGGTGGGACCGAGGCAGGCGGCTGCCCCCGGCGGCCTGCGTGCAGGCCCTGCGCCGGCGGAGCCGCCTGAGGAAGCTGGAACCGGCTCCCTCCGACACGGTCCGTTAGAAGCTTGACCGCTGCCAAGCTTGCGGCTCCCCGGGGCAAAGCGCGGCGGGGCGGGGTGTTTGTGCGGGAGCGGACGGGCCTGACGGCTCCGCGGTACCGGAGAAGGGTCAACAACAGCGGGACACCGGGAACAGCACCGGGCGCACCGCAGCCCCCCCCAGTGGGGGGAGCTTCTGTGGCGTGGCCCCGCCCATCGCTACCAGGCTCCGCCCCTCAGGCGCTCCCGCTGGCGGAGGACGGTGGCCGCGAGGGTCCGTTTCGCGCTCTCCCATGGCGGAGCGGGAGGATGTCGCTGGTGCTGGGGCTGCTGTCGCACACGCTGAGCAGGGTGCTGCGGTACTCCGGGCTGCGTAGGGGCTGCCATGCCCCCCGGAGCCACGCCATGGAGCAGGACAAGGCGCTCGAGGTTTACGGTGAGTGTCGGGGGGCTGCTGGGGGCTCCCTCGAGCAGGGCTGGGGCGAGGGGGCTGTGGGGCGGGTGGTGAAGGAGCGGGGCGCTGCGAGGGGACAGGGCGGCCGCGGCTGCTGTGCCCTTGGCGGGGTGAGGTGGGGGGAAGCGGGGCCCTGCCCAGCCCCTGTGGGCGCTGAGGGGGTGTGTGTGGAGCCCTGAGGGGCTGGGGTGAAGGCGGCTGCTCTGGGGGTGGGGCTGGAGGGCAGGGTGCTTGTCCTGCTTGAGGGCTGGAATCGCTGTCAGGGCTGTGGGGTGCGGAGGGGGCACCCTTGCGGTGCTGGGGAGCACCATGTAAGGGTGAGCTTCCCCCAGCCCCACGGCCAGCCCCCGGCTGCGGCTGGATGCTGTGACCTTGGGACGGGGCATGTGCCACGGTCCCTGTTAGTGGGATCCTGAGCAGGGAGCGTGCTGGGAACTGAATCCCTGCTCCCTTTGAGCGGTGGGTGCTGCTGCCTCTGCTGCTTCCCAGCTCCCGGGTGAGCGTGCGGGAAAGGGCTGGGCTCAGCCCCTGCACTGGGGGCAGTTTCCTTGGTGTTTCATCGCCTTGGACAAGAGGAGCTGGACACACCTGGAAAGGCAAGTCATTCCGGAAGGGTCAGCCGGTGAGCCAGCGAAGGGGAGATTGCTGTTACTGAGTGACTGCGGCTACCGTAAGATACAGAGAGGTTTTACCTCTGGAAATGCTGCGTTGAGGATCCTGGAGGATTCCAAACGCATCGTCGAGCTGTGAGGCACTGCTGGGTTGTAGGCAGTGAGGAGTTTAGGCAGCACCCTGCGGCTTTATGTAAGAAGAATAAAAGGGGAAACAGTGGCAAACAAACGGCAAAAAAGGTGATTCCTAATAAAAGAGCCTTTTACCTTTATTATTGGTCACTTGTGTTCTGCTCTAGATATAATCCGTACTATCCGGGACCCGGAGAAGCCGAATACTTTGGAAGAACTGGAAGTGGTAACAGAAAACTGTGTTGAAGTGCAGGAGATAGGAGAAGACGAGTATCTGGTTATCATCAGGTTTACACCAACAGTACCTCATTGCTCTTTGGCTACTCTCATTGGTAAGATTCCCATTTCATTACATCTGTATCAGCGAGTGTAAAGTTAACTTTAGGTTGTTTGAGTAATGCCGGTCTTGGTTAAAATTGAGTATTGCTTTGTCAGCAGTTTGACCATCTTGAGAGCCCTGCTAGCAATGAAACAGACACAAAAGCAGAGGAAATATGGGGACACCCATCTGTTTTCAGCAAGTTAGGGAAACTCTTCAAAGAGAAGCTCTCAAATCTAGTGGGAAGTAGCCCAGAATTCCTTCTTCATGTTCTCCAAATCTCTCTTATCTTCCCCTTACCTGCAGGGCTGTTCTTCATTCCCACACACGTACAACAAACCCACGCTGCAAAACAAGGATACCAAAGAAGGCTCCGAACCCTTAGGAGTTTGGAAGCCATTAAATTGAATGAGAATCTACACTGGCTGCTTTTCCTTTTTTTTTCTTATTTATGCAGAGATTGCATCTGGAAAATCATGTCTGAGATCTCTAAAATGATTTGTTTAAATGTGCCAAGATTAACATCTCTTACCATTATATATCAATGCTGAGATATCCCAGTGCGTCTTAAAGATTTAAGGGAAAATAAGTCTTTAATGTAATGCAGAAGTACATGTATTTATGCCTTAATAAACCTTTGCAAGTTTATGCAGAAAGTAAAATAGGCAGTAAAGCATTAGCATGCCAAGCACTAGGAAGTTATTTATAGGCTGACCCTGTTCGGAATGTCAGTGGGTTAAGGCTCGGGCCTGAGGATCAATGATGCACATACCAGATCTTAAACATTGTGCTAATCGTGTTCTCAGCACTTAAATGTCCACCAGGTCTGTGGTGGCTGTTTGATTGTGAGTTGTTATCAGTATCCTGTGACCTTTGAAGCACAGCAACTCCTGCTATTACATGACAGTGCTGTGGGAACTGGTTAAAAGAGCTGGGTAGTGTATGTAAAAATGGAGGCAGTAAATAGTTTGGGTTTTGTTTCCCAAACTTCTCTGTCTGTACAAAGTACTCTAATTGAGGAGTATTTTCTCTTCTGGGGAGTATCTTCTATTGCTGGTACCACTGGCTCAGCCCAAGGGCAAACTGGAGCTGTGGTGTGGCTTTGTCTGTGGGTAGCTCATTGCAAAGCCAGGCCTTGTGGGGAAACTGCAGTGGGCTGGTGCTGGGGGTGTCCCTGAGCTTGGATCTCACTCCCAGAGATGAACTACAACACTCCTCTGCTTTCCTGTGTCTAGGAGGTGTTTAGAGACCTAAGCTTGTCAGGCGGGTGTGAGCTTAACTGAGAAGCCACATCCAAAGGGTCAAACCACAAACTTCAGTCACCTGTGGCTTGTGCTGCTCAGAACACAAAAGAAGGTTGTCAGTTATACTGGTTTTTTATTGTTAAATGTGAACTCTCTGAAAATGCACCTCAAACCTTGAATTTTAGAAGAAAATCTCTCTTTTGTTTAAACAGGCCTTTGTTTAAGAATAAAACTTCAGAGATGTTTGCCTTTTAGACATAAGGTAAAGTACCTTTTCTAGAACTTCCTTTAAACTACATGAGTGCATGCCAAGCTCTCTTTAAGAGGGTGTATGCTGCAGGGTCAACTAACTTCCAAGCTGTGGGGTCTTTTTAGAGCTTGTCCTTTGCCTGTGGAGGGAGGGGATGTTGGAGCACAGTGTAGCATCTGAAGGGATCTGCGAATGACTTGGTTCTTTCCTTTACAAAAGACCATTTCTTGCTGCACTTCTGAATGCTGGGCTTCAGGGGGTTTCCTCACCTCAGCAGCTGTCATTTGGGTTCTTGCCTCTTGGAAGAGGGTAATTTCAAATCCAGAGTTTCAAAGAACGGAAGTGTTAGTGCTGCTGCTCTGAGACGAGGGAGGAGGTTGTCTTGTGACTGTGTTGCGGTGAAGTCTAAGCTCAGCTCTTGCCGCCGATCCCCTTCCATTGTCTGTACACTTGTATCAGTGTGCGTGACAAACACTGCATGTGTGCTGTGCAAGTTTTTCCTCCAGGAATGAATTTATTCAGCTGTTGATGTGTGCATCTAACACTCCTGCTCTCCCCTCCAGCTGGAAATCTACATAACTGAAGGTACACATTCCACTGAAGAAGACAGTAAGTGGAGCTTGTGAATGAGTGCTGCCTCAGCCTTGTGTCTGTGTGCTTTTGAGAAGTCCTTTTCTTCCCCTACCTTACAAACCTTTTGTAAATGCATACACTGTCAAAGCTTTAAAGTGAACCAAGCAGAAATCCCCCCAGTCTGTGCTGCTGAATCATTAACATGAAGAACCGCCTGACTGGTTGATCTCACTATCTTAGCATCATCATACAAAAATACGTGCTTCTCAATCGGTGTTTAAAATAAAGCTTAGAGGACACTGGAATTCTTTCAGAGCTGTGGCCCATCACCGTCTGAAGGAGCTTTTTACAGCCTTTGGCCAGGCAGTGTCCCAGGACTTTCTGTTCTTAAGCATCAGCTGTCTTTGCGTGGCAAAAATCAAGTTTTTTTGATTCAGTGACTAGAAATAGAACCTGGGCTACTAATTAGCCGCAAATTTCACACTTCATTCAAGATACGCCATTAAAGCATCTGACGTTCTTTTCCTGAACTAGGAAAGTAACAAAAACCTTTGGTTTCTGGTGGTTGTTTCTGTGACTGAGCTTTCATTTGCTTTGTTCCCAATCCCCTATTAACCCTCTGTCCTTTGACTGCTGGCTCTTGAGCACCCTCATACGCCTCTTCTCTTGTCATCCTTCTACTGTGCCTGGCACAAGCTTCTTATACTCGGCCGTGTAACTTGAACTTCCAGTGCCCTGTCAGCTCTTGTTCTGATTTCAGCTGGGGCATTATGCAAATAACATCTTCCACCTAAAGAGAACACTGAGAAGAAACTGCTTCTGACTTCACTTCTCATGTGGTGTTTTGCAGTCAACAAGCAAATCAATGACAAGGAGAGAGTAGCAGCTGCGATGGAGAACCCGAACTTGCGTGAAATCGTGGAGCAGTGTGTCACAGAGCCTGACTAGCAGCCGGGGCAGCCACACTTACCATTTTGATACATTTCTTAAAGTATCTTTGTTAAAAAAAAGGAGGAAATAATAATAATCAAGGCCTTGAGTTTAATACTTGAGTTCTTTTTATCTTCCACGTTTTTTTAAAAGGAATTGTTTATAAGATAGATTTAAATTATGACAAATTAGTCTTTGGAATAGTGAAGTGTATAGTGTTCAGAACTGTGATTTCTGGTGTCCAGAGAAGTATTTTGTGATTAAAAACAGAGCAACACACAGGCGTTGCCTTCTGACAGACATTGTGATATAAATGCAGTTTTGAGAGGGGAATTTCTACGTTGTTTCAATCACTGCACTGTAAAAATAAAAGAGATTCTTGTACTGAGATGCTGCTTTCTGAGCTCAGAGACTTTCTCTTGAGGCTTAGGTTTAGCTTTCTGTTAGAGAAGGAAACATTTCGTTCAACTTCCTCGTGGGTGAAGCTGAAATGAATTCAGAAAAAGAGTTTGGAACCAAAGGACTGGGCTATTCAAGGTAGATCCTTACTGGGGCACTGTTCCTGCTAAATATTTGTGCTTTTCCAACTGTTAAGTTCATGTTTCTGATTCTGGAGGCTTTGCTTTCTCGTCACCTGAGGGTAAAGTTTTCCTGCAGGACAGATCTTGCCAGTTTGACCCTGCTTCGTCTTAACAACTTCCCTGTAAGGCAGAAGGTGACAGAATCCCCCAGCCCTTCATCCCTCTGGTTCCCAGTGTCCTGTTCCTTGTTGCTGCTCCCTCTCTAATCTGATCTGGGGTGTCCCAGCTGTTGCCAGCTTTACCATTTGCTCACTGGGGAAGTTCCCCAGGGTTGGTTTCCATCGCAGCTGTGGATTTGACCATGGATTTACCTTTTCCTGATGAATTGGGCAGATGTTCCTCACTCAGCTTCCTCCTAGTGGGAGTGATGTTCAGCACATGCTGATGCTCCTGTGCAGCCACAGGAGCCCCTCGGTGGTACATGTCCGGTGAACTATTTGGCTGTCCCGGGGTATGTTTCCTGGTCAGTGCATAGTAGTCCCTCCTGCAGTGGTTCATGAGAGATTTAGTTCCTTTATGAAACAGGGACTGTTTGGTGGGCTTGAACTTGGTTACACACTGAGAATTCCTGGGAGTTCAGTGCAAATGTCTGCTGAGATTTCAGGGATTTGTAACCGTTTTAATCATAGAATCATAGAATGGTTAGGGTTGGAAAGGACCTTAAGATCATCCATTTCCAACCCCTGCCATGGGCAGGGACACCTCCCACTAAACCATCTCACCCAAGGCTCTGTCCAACCTGACCTTGAACACTGCCAGGGATGGAGCATTCACAGCTTCCTTGGGCAACCCATGCCAGTGCCTCAGCACCCTAACAGGAAAGGATTTCCTCCTTAGATCCAATCTAAACTTCCCATTTAAGTTTTAACCTGTTACCCCTTGTCTTGTCACTATTACTGATGAGCCACATAATGCTTTCCTCAAGGCATGAAAGGATTGAGCGGGCTCCAGCAGTGCTGAGCGTTACACAGCGTGGGGGAGAAGGAGGGAGGGTCGTGTGGGCAGGATTTTGGGTGCATGAGGAACATGGGATGTTTCTCCAAACGCGGGTAGACAGGCCGTGTCCCCTGCCCTCACTCGCTATCATAAAGTGGTAGAATAATCCCTTCATGGTACCAGTATTTTGCATTTACAATAAGGAGAAACAACTGCAGAGGGCAGCAGCAAGTCACAGAGTGGTACCACAGCGGGTAACTGCGGCATCCCTGCCCCTGCTCCCGCTGCCCACCTCGGTCTACACCCGATTCCCAGCTCCCTGTCCCCAGGCTGGCACCTCCTGGGGCTGGGAACCACCGTGGGGAGGGGTTGGTGGAGAGGCTGTGGGCAGGCTGGGAAGTGGAGGAGCCGATGGTGGCAGTGCCTGATCTGAGCTCTGATGGTTCCTGCAGGGTCTTGTCCCTCTCTGCTCACGCCCGTTGCAGAGGAGCCACGTTTCACAGCAGGCTCCTGGGGCATGCAAAGGGGTTTATAGCAGCTTCTGGACAGGGCTTGGAGCAAGCTGCCCTAGTGGAAGGTGTCCCTGCCCGTGGCAGGGGTTGGAGCTGGGTGAGTTTTAAGGTCCCTTCAACCCAAACCAGGCTGGGGTCCTGTGATTGTTACTCTGGTTTTCCAGGCAGCACATCACAGATCTGAAAGCTGGTTTCCAGCCCCAGATCACCAGGCTGCAAGTCCAAAGGGTGTTTGTGTCCTCTCTTCCTGCTCACACCTGGGAGGTCTCCCCATGCCTGCATGGCAGCAGGGCTGTGTAAGTGGATCACGTCTGCCAAACCTTTACGTAGCCGTGGCTACAGAGATGGGGCTATTTTTAGCATATGGATATCTCTAAATATTTACATGCAGTTGCCTGAGCTTTCCTAGAGCTCAGATGCAGGTCGGCAGCTGCGGGTCCTGGGGATGCGAGCGGTGGCTGTGTGAGCTCTGTGACCGGGGCCCTGCGGGTCCTTCCTCTCCTCCCCTCCCTCGACACGCTCGGCAGAAGTGGTGGCTGCGAGCGAGCAGAACATGCCGTGCCATAGAAAAGCCAAACCAAGATAAACCAGCTCAACTCTTCAAACCCTTTCCTCGCTGTCCTGCCTTTGCTTCCCCGACCCTCCAGGCTGCGCTTGTGAAACCTTTCTGTGTCATAGAACCATAGAATCATTACGGTTGGAAAGGACACACAGGGCTAGAGGGTTTAAGAACAAGGGAAATTAAACCATCTCTTAGCTGAAGAGACATGGAAGGATGGGGTGAGCTATTCCTGGTCTTTGCCGCCTCCTCCTGTGCTTGGGTCCACATCCCTCACCCGTCACAGAATCATTTAGGTTGGAAAACACCTTTAACATCATCGAGTCCACCTGGTTGTTGGTGACCCCTCTGGCACTTTGGGGATTGGAACACTTCAGCTGAGACCATCTGGTCCGGACAGAAGCACTTGGTAAGGGTTGAGGGCCTGCGCAGCGCAGGTGCTCTGATAGAGTGACCCAGATGCTGCTGGAGATGCGGAAGTGGTTCAAGTGTTATTGTTAACGTGAGACATAAACAACCTCCTCCATAAAACGCTGCTTCCCAGCTAACGAGCTCGTGGTTCCTTCCTGGCTCCAGCTCTGGAAGTGTCTGGAGCTGACCAGGGGAGGCACAAAGTCTGATTTCTAATCTGAAGCCAAAGCTTCCGGCTCCTCTCAAATGAATAAATAGAAGCAACAGCAAAACATGAGCTACAGGTAAGTGCCCTAACGTCTTGTGCAGGTTCTCCTGCAATGCTGCAGTCAGGAGGAGTCTCAAAGTGTTTGTGAGCATCATCCTGGTGCCGATAGCTGGGACGCTGCTGCCAGTCACCCGTCTCCCAGTCACCCGTCCCCCAGTCACCCGTCTCCCAGTCACCCAGCCAAGGTGGCTGTTTAAAATCTGGATAAATGTACATTCCTGCCTCAAACCCCGCCCTCAGCCCCAGTTAACCCAGTTGGAGTTGGCAACCGGACTGCAAGAACGCAATTCCCTGCAACCTCCCACAGCCTAGTGGAGAAACCAGCTGGTTTTCAAACAGCCCAAGTGAAACCCAGCGGCCAAAGGTCGGGGAGACTTGGACACCCCCATTGCTAGAGCTCACAATGAGGGGAATCCCCCCTTTACTGTGTGCCAAATGAAGCATGTGAGCTCCGCAGCGCTGCTCTTCAATGGCTCTTTCTGAAGTAATGAACCAAAAGGATCTTAGAATGACAAAGTGAATGGTGCTGGTCACTGTGCATCCTGTACCGCTAATGAGGAGCATGGTTTAGGGCTTCCCTTCTGTCTGGGCTCTTTGGGAGGCACGGAGGGGAAGGCTCTGCTGGGGTTCTCGGCGTGACCGGTGCATCAACACATTGCTTGTGCTGCAGGGACCTGCTCTGCAGACAGGTACTGCAGGAGATGCTCACCAGGACCGTTACCACTGCAATGAGCTGCTTTGTAAAGCCATTGTAGGCACGCATACGGCACAGAAGCTGGAGCCTTTCGGTCCGCCAGCATCTTCCCCATCGACCCAGCTCACGTTTTAATCACACAACCCCCAGCTGCAAACCACAGCTTTCAATGATGCTCAGATACAAACTGATTGCCCATTTCTGCTGCAGTGAGAGTACCACCCCCGTGCTGCTGCCAGGGCCTGAACTGGCTGCACTTACCTGTGCTTTCAGGGACAAATCCCCCACGGGAAAGAGAAACCCTGAAACCCTGCTATTGCCTTCAGGAACTGTTCAATTTAACACACCCATGAGCTACAGCCATTAACCCCCCACAGTGGCTGTCCCTTAGCATGACCTGGGAGTGTGACAGAAGCATGGGTCGGATGGAGCCGGTGCGAAGGAAACCAGGACTGGACACAGGCTCTTGTAACGTACAAATTTACACCACGTTGGAAAGGAATCAAACACAAATGGTGAAGTCATGGCTTGTGTTTTACATACAAATTACACGCAGGAATTTCCCGTTCTGGGAATGTTGTTCCTGGCAGCACCCTGAGCTGCAGGCCCGATGCTGGGCTCCAGCCTTCAATACAACCAGGATCCCCCTCATGGACTCCCAGTTTTGGCCATTCTCTTAGCCTGAAGAGTAACACGGAAAGGGATTCCTACCTAAATGCTCCTGACCCTCCTCCAGGGACCAACCAGAGCAAATCCTCCCAAAGACAGGAGGGATTAACACACGGCACTCCCTGTGCCGGCCGAGTGCCACTCTTCATGCAATATTGGATATTCTAGTTAAAAAAGTCAGCTAAACTTAACAGAGGTGAATCTATATATGCAGGAATAAAGGGGTTTAGCTTGTAAGAACACAGAAAAACACCTTAACCAACCATTCAACTGCTACACCACAACTGCATACAGAAACCCAGGCATGTGTGTGCTCTGCTGCTCAGCACCGGGGCAGAGCAGCGCTCCCCTCCTTCACAAACACACCCACTGTGGGACTCCAGACCCATTTGTCATCTCGCTCGTGCCTTGGGGTCCCTGACCATACCTGGGCAAGGATACAGGCAATGGCTTCAGCAGAGAAAGCCAGCAGTGGGGAGATGAGGGGATGGAGCCTCTGCACCTACCACGAGCTCTGGCCTCATGGGGGTAACCGAAGCCAATGTTTTGTTCCTCTGCTCTGTCTCCACATCTTCAGTGACGGCTGTTTAGCTTCAGTGCGTAAACATTTTAATGCAAGTTACAGAAATGGGCTGTCGGCTTCAAGTCCCTTAAGGAATAAAGGCAATGCTCTAACCCGAGCAGTCGCTGCGCTGCTGGAGCTGGGTGCTCCTTCAGACACCTAAAATAACAATAAAGGTCAGGGGTTCGTGCTGGCC